TGAACTGCTGGTACACGAAGCCAGAGTTCAGAAAAATCGCTAAGCGATGCCAGAAACAAGCCCGTCGATGGGAGTCTGGAAAACCATCAATGAACGAATCTTGTCCTCGAGGACTAGAAAGCTTCATACAGGAAGACGGGGAGATTACTACGGCTTCCGTCGAACAATGTATTGACGCTGTAATGGACGAGCAAGAAGTCCAATGGGACAAAGAAGTCGATGACTACGACCGCTTGGCAGCAGTCTCTGAAGAAGTATCGAGATTCAGCGTCAGTTGGGCTCTAGAGAGAGCCAGGACAGATGAAAAAGAAGCGCAAAGAATATACAAACATATGGAACAGAAATACAAGGTGACCAAGTCGAAATGCGAGTCTCCAACAAGCCTTTCGAAATCAATAGAGGATGGACGAGATGACCATAAGTCTATGTGTTCTGATCTGAGCCATTCTGGTGCAGAATCGCCCCGCCTAACAGAACACCAAAAGACGAAAGGAGCCTCCAAGCCTCCACTAAAAATGCCCAAGCTCCCTCGTCACGTCAGCATCACAATATATAGAAAGGTGTCTCCAATGATTTGTAGCAGATGAGACGTACATCTACGGGGCTTTGCTATTTTGCAAAGTCTTCCAGGCATGGTACATCATGGTACCTACAGAGCCATGTTTTCAAGCCCTCTGAGACTCGCTCCCCTAGGCACGGTACATCTTGGTACCTGCTGCGTTTTTGAAACCGCAAACCAGACGCAGGCAATCTAAAACGAAATCAAGAACCCGTAACTTTGATATTTGGGAGTCGTATCCAATAGTCATTCTTTTTTAACAGCTACTGCGACAATTGGCAAGCTAGTATCACTGACACTGTTGTTTGCGCTGTTTCGTGGTGATATGCAACTGTATACTAATACTACAAGCGAAGACAGGTCACTTGCCATCAGAGCACGAAAGGCGAATTTAAAAGTTGGTTTGCTTTAACCTACGGCTTCACCTAGCTACCGGTAGAACTGCAAGGTGCCATTTCTTCATTCCGTCACCCAGCACCACGATCCGAACCCACATTGTCGTTCACACAAAAAGCGGTTTCAAAGAGCAAGAACATTATGACAAAAATGGGATTACGTATGTTGGTAGCTACTGGTACCTGGTAGGCACATCACAGCCTCCGGATGCACGAAAT